CTTGTGCAATGTGTATGATTGTTCAGATCTGAATTCTAGAAAGAATGTATAGGATAACATTGTTGATTTAAGAAGCAGAGTTAGGGGTATGTGCATTATGGGAGATGATTTACCTATAGTGGAACATAAATACACATGATATAATACCTCCTCCAAGACCAGTAGACTTGATAGATATTCATTATCAATTGACTTCTCAGATGAGTTATCAGAATCTCTTAGTTAAGATTGCATAGATCAATTTTTGAATACTGCCCAATACTCCTTTTTCTGAGATTATGGTTGATTATGGCACCAAACCGTATAGATTTTTTGAATTGTTTCCTGGAGTCTTCAGGTTTCTTGGACATGGTGGATGTGAAATGGAAATCATTTGATGTTGAAGGAAATGCAGGTATTAGGTTATGGTCTAAGCTTTGCTTGCTAAAAACAGTACTAAAGAAGTGGAACATAGTGTTACAACAACGTGAGGAACAAAATTAAAGAATTAGAAGCAGTGGAATCAATAGATCAAAAACTAGAAGATGGTTTTTTCTCAGAATCAAATATCATTCTTAAGAGGTCGTTCTTCGTGAAGTTATTGAAGAAATATCAGGAGGCGGTACTATGGAGACAGAAATCCAGAGATAGACAGATCAAGGAGGGTGATCGTAACAACAAATTCATTCATAAATTATCTAAAAGTTAAGATTGCAAAATCAAAGTATTGGTCTTAATGTGATGGTGTTTGGGTATCTAATTCTAAGAAGGTTAAAGATGTTGCAGATTTCTATAGTAACCATTCTAATTCCAAGAAGTTGAGGAAAACAAGCATGAATGGATGTTCCTTTCCATCTCTCTCTGCTTCAGAGACTAGTGTCCTTGAAGATGTGCTCACTTTGGATAAAATTAGAGATGTTCTAATGAGTTGTGAAGGTTCTAAAGCACCGGGTCCTCATGGCTTCAACATTGAGTTCTTTAAGCGAGCTTGGAAAATAGTCTAGCAAGATTTCTAGCAAGGAAGCAATTTAAGGAAGGGAATCAATCAATGTATGGAAAAAACTTTTTTGGAACTCGCTATAAATTTTTTGAAGGTTAAACGCTTCAAAACTCAAGAGTGAAGCTATTTATCCCTTGAAGCTTACGCCTCATAGCTTAAAGCATAACTAAGGTGTGCACTTTGCGCTTTACAAAATGTTTCTCTTTTGAAACACACACTTTAGACAAGATAGGAGGAGATAAAACGATTTTTGACTAACGTTAAAGTGCTCAATAGTATCTTCAATAAGATATAAATGTTATGTATGTAGCTTACTTTATTGTGATTTGCGTCTATACTTCACATATTTAATTCTTATTTACTAATCGAGACATGAATGTGCCTATTTGTAAATTATTGTACCACTATATAATATATTCAAAAAATTTACATATTATAAAATTAAAATGCTTAAACTCATGAGGCTTACGCCTCACGCTTTGAAGCTTACACTTCACTTCAATAATGGATCTAGCACTTTACTTTGCGCTTCCGCTTCTTCAACATTGGAATTAATTCCTCTTTCATAATGTTAATTCCTAAAAGAGATTCACCTTTAGGTCTTAAGGACTATAGGCTCATTTTTTTGTTTCCTCGTTATACAAGGTGATATCTAAATTACTTGCCAACAGGTTGCGCAAGGTCATTAGTTCTATGATGAGTGACAATCGATCCGCTTTCATTGGTGATAGATAGATTCTTGGTAGTATCTTAATGACCTCGGAGATTATAGATGAAGTAAAAATGTAAAATGCAAAGTGCAAGAAGATGTGATTGTTAAACTTAACTTTGAAAAGGACTACGGCTATGTGGATTGAGATTTCTTGGACTCGGTGTTAGCTCATATGAGTTTCGATCAGTTGTGGAGGACGCGAATTCATGGTTATTTGAATAATTCTTTAGTGTCAAGCTTAGTCAATGGTAGTCCGATGAAGGATTTTTCGATGTATTGTAGGCTTCGAGTGTATCGTAGGTTTCAACAAGACTGACCTTTATCACCTTTTCTATTTTTTTTGGCTAGTTAAGGTCTTAACATTTTGCTTAACAGAACAACTTCTATTTGGCTATTCCATGGCATTATGATTAGTGAGAATCAAGGTTTTAAATGTCGAATGTCAAGGACATGTTGAACGGTCAAAATCCATATCAGATTGCGAAAATCGAGGATATATAGTAAATATCAAATTGTCATATTGGATGATGTGCATATATAATATAATGTCTTGGTCTTTTGCTTGCACTTTGGTAATGTTTGATTGTTCAGTGGAAAGTATCAAATTAAACATAGTAGGACATGTCAACTTCACAAGAAGAAGCTTAACAATATTATACTTAACTGAGAAATGTTATACATTGTCGATTGAGAAATCAAGTAAAAGAGCCATGGTGGCTAAAAATGTTGTTGTGTTGTCACTCAGACAAGGTGAAATCATCACCAATGTCATCTTCTACTAAAACATAAACAGTACCAACAAATAAACAACTATTATCCAAGTATTGTTCATCTTCATCTCCTGCTCTTTTGTTTTTCTCCTGAAATCATTGAAACTCAAATCCTCTCCATTTAATCTTTTTGTTTCTCAATCAATTCCGCGTTAGACCCTCTCAGCCACCTGCAGCGAAAAAAGTCTCAGAGAAGAGGGCGTTCGACCTCAAACTTCACATCATAAAGAATCAATTTAGAGTCGCATCAAATCACTTTTGAATCTCTTCAAAAGAGGGATCGGGTTGATTGAGAGAAGAGAGGGAGAAGAAGGTGTTATCTTAGCTTCATTCCTTGTCGTCGAGGATCGACGTTGAAGAGAGAGCGAGAGCAGGCAAAGAAAGATTTGCCTAAAATGAGAGAAAAGTGGGGAGAAGATTTTCTCTAAACAATGCGTGTAGTTCGTTTTAAAGCTGTAGTCGTTATTAGGTTTCGATTTGGATTTGGATTTGGATTTGGGTTTGGTTTCAACCAAACTGAACCCAAACCCAAATCGAAAATAAAAATTCGAAATGTGCAACTCGCGGAGCTTTTCAGTTGGTCAAAATTGCAAAAAAAAAAATCTAATATATCGCCAATATACGACTTGAAAACCCAAACGACATGAAACCCCACATATCCTTGCGCTTGGCCCTGAAAAACGATATATGTCGGCCGACATTTAAAACTTTAGTAAGAACGACTGGAAAGTCACTCATCTTCAAAGTTTTGTTTGGCTAACTGGGTTGAATGGTCATTCAAGGCATTTCTTGAAAGGCATGGGGTGGAACTCTAGATTGTTTAGTTATTTTGTCCAATGTGCAGGAGAGTTTTTGAAGATAAATTACAAGCCATATTCAATTGTTGTTGGGTTGATTGTCTTTAGAATTTAATTCGAAATTGAGGGTGCTTTACTAATTTGATTGAAATGTGGATCATTCAATGGATGGATTTAATCCAAGCTCCATGCAAGAAATGGATGGTGTTCTGTTTCATTACTCTTTAGTCCATTTGGAATGCAAGAAATGAATTAGTTTTCTACAAGGAAACTAGCACTCTTACGACGGTGGAGCAAAATAAACCATACACTTTTTCTCGTCTCAAAGTTTGGTGTACCTTCCATCCATGGGATCTTCATAATTCGTTTTTTCAACCAGGTATTATCTTAGCTTGTTCATAATGCTACAGGTGTTGAAGTGATAATCATGTGTCAGTGGGTTTTTTTTTTTTTTTGCTTTCTATGCTGTCTTTAGCTTTTTTCTGTTTTGATTTTTTTTTTTTTTTTTGCTGTTTTGCAATTCCATCTTAGAATCCTTCACTTTGTTTTTATGCTTTGATTAATTCAAACTTTTTCGCTAAGCAAAAGATGCTTTGAAATAGATTAAATAAACTTGGAGGGTGCGAATCAATGTGAATCGAATCATATCTGAGATCAAAACAAGTTGTAACATGGTCTGGAATGAGCGGATCAGATCTGGGGGATCAAGTGCAGACGGTTCGAATGAAGGCTGATCGAGGCACAGAGCTGTTAGAGGCAGAGCTTAAGTCAAGCAGCAGCAGATTTGACTGCACGCAATTGGATCAATGTGGAGAGTCAAGGTTGGTTCTAATCAGTTCTGACAATGTTAGGCGGTGTCAAAACTCTATGGAGAGGCAAGATTGAAGTTGTTGCTGGTCAGATCTAAGAAGAGGGATGCAGCTTCATTGTCTATCGGTAGCAGAGGCAATGAAGGTTTCAGGCAACTGGGTAGAGGCAACGGTGACCAAAATCAGAGTTCTAGCCAGCAGTTGAAACTTGTAGAAGAAGAGTTGCTTGGATTTGAGGTTCTGATCCAAAGGAGGGTGGCTCAAATCTCAAGGAGGGTTGGGACCGGACCTCTAGGAGCTTTTGCACAGGGAGAAGAAAAAGTGACTATTATTTGGGTTGGGGCAGGGGGGGGGGAAGCTTCCTCTTAAGGAACAAAATTTGAGAAGAGAATTTTTCATTTGGATAAGGGGCATGCTCTGATTATCATGGTTGGTAGAGGAGAAAGAACTTTTAAAAACAGAGAGAATAGCTAGCTTCCTCAATACAAGAGAATTTCTTGTAGAAGATGATCTCTATTCTAAGATCAGAAAGAGAGATTGATTGAGTACCCGGTAGATTACTTTTGAATTTTTATATGCATCTCACTCATGAGATTATCATGCTATTTGTAGACTTTCTGTAACTTCCCGAAGTCTCCCTGATTTTCCTCTAACCAACCAACAATTTCTAAAATCTTTGAGGTAACTGATATTGTGGATATCGTGGGTAACAACTCCCACAAAATCCAATTGATGTTCTCTTGGTTGATTTGGTCAACTTCACTAGTAATTAGCAATAAATATAATCATGTTAACATAAAACTGATAAATCCATCCGAAAATGGAAAAGGAAAGTATATACACCAAAAACATTAATTAATATGAATTTATGAAGTAAATAATTGGGTAAGTAATCAATAGCTTCATAAAAGAGATGATTCTGGGCTGACATACCTTAACAACAAAAACATTACATGATGAAACTTCCTCAAGGTATTTCTTGCTAACAGAATCAAGGTACAAAACATCAGAATAGCCTTTTGCCTTTGCTATTGACTGTGCCCTCAAAACCTACAAAGAAATCATAAAGTACAAGCACTGGTGAGTATGTGAATAGTTAATACAGCTTTCATCTTCCGATTGATCAAAGCATTTAGGTTCCAAAGATTATAGTTTACAATTAACTAATAATGAAAAAAAAAGGGACCAGGTCAAGAGCCATTGCAAATAAGATACACTTAGTTGCAATAGATAATTAATGCCCACTGGGAAGAAATGTACACAACTGATGTAGCACTGCTATCATTAATTACGAAGAGGTGGTTACCGATGCATAATTTCCGATAGTTTTTACACCACCAGTTCCTCCAGGGGTTGCACGATGAAAATCGTTTTCAACAATCAAGTTTATTGGAGCCAGGCCCTCCTGCAGACATGTAGCAGCTATGTGATTAGCTGTATACACTTTAACAGTTAAAACAACAGTCAAACAAGTTGGAGGCAAAATGCAGATGCTGCAGCAAGAATCTTAGAGATGCAGGTTAATGAACCAAAGTTGTCAGATTTAGCCCGCTGCTAACTCTCTGAAGTGGCTGAATACATATAATATGACTAATAATCATTATATTTCCATGAGGTCTTATGTGCAAGTACAGAAGGCCAATTGAATCCAGTGAGATACATGTGTGGAATTCAGACCTGACATGTTGCATGGTTGCAAGAGCCATTACCATTATAGTACTGTGGCACCCACTACTTAAATCAACAAGAACGTAAAAAAGTCATCTTGTTAGAATAAAACTGGAATAACGACTGTGCAGCATAAGAAAATGTGAGTAAAAGTACCTTAAAAATATACAGTATCTTCAAAGCTTGAAGTTGTCAAATACACACTAGTTAAAGCAAAAGTTTCTAGCAGGTTTGATTCCTAAAATATACTTGAATACAGTATAATAAATAAAGCTCGTAGCTAACTAGTAAGAGAGAATAGTTGCTGGAATTACTGTACATTATTTCTATTTCGTAACCATTGAATTATAACTTACAATATAATGCAATATAATAGAGGTAAGTTGTATAATTTTCAATTATAGTGCATTGCATAGACAATTTCACTCCTGCAATATGGAAACATGAACTTTCAAATTTGAGTTAGAACACTGCAAAACGCTAGTAACCATCAGAATCAACACTGCAAAACGCTAGTAACCATCAGAATCATGATGGCTGAGGTCATAGGCTCGCAATGTTGAAAATAACGATAACGCATAATGTAATGCTCAACCTCCTATTAGGGGTTAAAGAAAAAACGCAAAAAATGTAAAACATAACGTAAGTTATTTTGTTTATTAATTATTTACATGTTCTATAAATACAAACTATACATAATAACTTTAATAATTAGAATCGATAAAATTTTCAAACATAACATCACAATTAGGAACAAAATAATTTCTTACTGTTTAATTTTAAAAATTATAAAAGATGTTAATAATAATTTTAATAATTAGGAACACAATATAATATAATATAAAAATATTTTATTTAAAATTCATTAATGTAATACAAGCTATATAGATTTACTAGGAAGTATCACAATCGAATACTCAAGTATATAATCATAAATTTATAACCCGTTCATAATTACATTCGTTTTATTAGTCATATTCATAATTTCACAATCACATAATGACGTCACCAAAACAAGACATGAAGGCTTAATAAAGAATTTAAAAGTAATTCCTTAACTACTTCAAGTTTTAAGAAAGAATATACTCTCCAGTATCTAGAACTCATATTGAAATAAAGTAAGTTATATGAAGGCTAAATAATTCAAAAGTAATTACTTACCTACTTCAAGTTTTAAGAAAGAATATACTCTCCAGTATCTAGAACTCATACTGAAATAACGTAAGTTATATTAAAATAATGTAAGTTATAGTAAAATAATGCATATTATATTGTGATAACATATGATGTGTCTAATTTACTTCATAAGGTTAAGTAACATGTAAGACCTGTTAAGTTAAATAATGAAACATAACGAGTTATGTAATAGATTTTTCAATAATTGACTCTAGAATAACACAGATTAGTTAGTTGATGGTGTAGATTATCATCATGAGGTTGATTGGTATTATTGATATTAATCTATAGTTTTTTCGTTTAAAATAATGATAATACAAAAAATATCAAGTGGTTTTTTAAACAAAAAAAATGAGAAAATAAAAAAAGGAAATTAAAAATAAATAGAACTATGAAAAAAATGCAAAACAGCGATCTAAATGAAATACCCAGCCAAATCCAAAAGGGAAATCTTCAAAAAATAAAAAATAAAAAACTCTACTTTTAAAAAAATAAAAAAATCAACTAACTAACAAGTCTTCAGCTGCCTAACAACCAGCAATAACACATAACCTTTACCAAAACAAAAATTTCAATTAAAAAACTGCTAGAAAGCACAGCAAGATTTCCACATCTCCCATCTTCAATCAAAAAGTACACACAAATGTAACATTACTTGAGTGTCTTTTATCAAGATTCCTTAGCCCTCCTTCATCGGAGCCTATCATCAAAGAGAATTTTCCTCACCTCTTTCATCAAGGCAAAAAAACCCTATAAAACATTCTCAATGTATCTCTCTCCTCACCTAAAGCATCTCAACTAAACAAACAAACAAACAAACAAACAAAAAATCCAACAAGTCATCTAACTCTTCATGTTAAGAAGACCTAGCTCAAAAGTCAAAAAAAAGAAGAAAATCACTACATCAAAAATTCCCCCACCTTCATCCGAGTCGATGACAATCCCAAAAAGAGACCCCTTTCAACTCTCACTAAAGGTATACTCTTCTTAGTGTTCTCTTTGAAAGTGATACTATTATAATCCGTGTGTCGCCCCAACTATTATAATCCTTGTGTCACTTTGTCATTCTTTAATTTTTCATTGGAAGTTTGCTTCCTTTGTAGGAGATAAAGTATGATGTCTGGATTTACTGTCAGTCCATAGTTAATAAGTAGATATCAATAAAATTATGGGCCAGGCTAATAAAGGTACTCAAACTATTATAAAAAATGATCCTGACATACAGTCCATGTGAGCAACAAGCGGGAAGAAAACAACACCAACCTACAGTCCTTGCAGTCAAAATGACTGTCAGAAAATGACTGCCTTACATGGCCAAACGTGCTATCTGAAAATGACTACAAGTACGTTTCTAGATCATACATAATGTATGTCTATAATTCAGAGTCGTTTTCTAACTTTCCTGCCAGCAGCAATAAGGATCATAGGTCCGAGTTATTTTCTAATCGTTTGTCAGCCACAAGGATTGCAAGAAAAGCCTTTGCTAACTATCAATTGGTCACGATGAATGTATGTCACGATCAATATTTGTACCATTTTATATTAATAGTAAATCTTGACATCACACTACATTTCCGACAAAGGAAGCAACTTTCTAATAAGAACTTCGAAAGTGATGCAAGGATTGTAATAGCCGCCAACAGAGAAACAACAAGAAGATTATACCTTTGGTGAGTTGAAAAGGGTTCTTTTACATTAGGATTGAGGGGAAAAAACCTTTCTCTTGGTTTGGATCTTCTCACGCTATAAAGGTGTATGGCTTGCAAGAAATTTCTATTTCTTTCACCAAGAGACTTTTGGCGATGGATAAACAGTGATAATTTATAGTTAGAATTTTTTTACTTTGATGCAACAGGAAGAGGAAAATTCTTTTCTTCTGATGATTGTTTGTTGTTTGTTACGATGTAAGAGAGGTGAAAATTTTGTTGAGGGCCCAAAACTTTTGGTATAATATCTCCAAAAGTCACACTCTGATTCACAAAGATGAAGTTCATTATGTGAGAAATTAGGTAAAGGGCAGAGAGGAGGAAGGCATTGGAGTGGGAGTGGGTAGGGAGAGGGGAGAAAAGAGGGAAGAATAGGGGCTAGGGTGGATGGGTTCACAAGAGTTCCATTGGAGATATAATAGGAAATGAAGTTGCAACTTAAAGCACAATTGTAGGTTGTTGTGATGGTGCCCAAATCTTTATAAGTAGTTTCCTGCAACCGGGTCCCTTTTTGGAACTGTAGTTATTATTCTATTCATTAGTCGAATAGGACAAACACCTGTAACTAGCCCAAAATGTCTTGTTCCATGTGACTGCAGTTACAATACCTTCTGGTCTAGTGCAATGCTGAAAAAAATGAATTACAAACTCGTTATTTTGGTATCATGTGACATAACAAACCTTAAATATTGGGTAATGTTATGAAATAACTCAAATGCACTGTAGCACTATGCTATTGCAATATAGTGTACACTACCTCATTATTATGTACAGTATTGCAATATGACATGCCTTAATTCTATATAATATACATCTTTTTCAATATAATGTACATAATTTCAATATAACTTATAGTATAGACTTAAGAGTTTTTTCTTTTTTGTTTTCATTAAGATTTGATATAGTGCTTTACTGCTTTAAAATGAGAGACAATGTCAAGGCAATGTGATCCTATGTTACGTGAGGAAAGAGACGCCAAAAGATGTGATCCTAGGCTGAACCAAGACGATAAATATTCAAAAATTTCATAAGGGTACAAACAATAAGCAACTGAACATGATATCAATAGGCTTAATTGCACTTAAGTACCCTATAGTTTCTTCTATTTTTCACTTATATACCCTCACTTATTTTTTATGGCACTTATAGATCCTAAATTTTTTTTAAACATGCGCTTATAAACCTCCCATGTTTTGGTAGCACTTATATACCCTAAAATTTTTAAAACTTGCCCTCTAATGGTACCTGAAGTGCAAGTTTTAAAACTTTAGAGTATATAAGTACTACCATAAACAAAAGAGAGCATATAAGTAAAAACTAACAATCAGAACTATTCAATATATGAATTCCTCAAACATGCAAAGAAGTGGTGGAAATCACCTGAAAACTTATGCTAGAGGATTTAGAATTACTAGTTTGATTCGTATTGGACAAATCCTACTTTGGTTAAACTTAGATTTCCTTTATTTAAGCTTTATTTGAAACTTCTAGCTTGTTTTGAGATACTATATTGGTTAGGATTAGACTTATCTAATTTGTAGAATGTAATTTATTTTCTTCCACTTCAATATTGGCCCTTGGACTTAACATACATTATTAAATAACTTTTTCGTTTAGTTCATTAATTGAACTTTGGTATTATAAAAGATCGATGCGTGTGAAATATTTTTTTGGTGTGTAACCAATCCAAATCTCTCACCAAATTATCTAGTACTGCTATCCCTTCATCTTGTCTCCCTTCAAATAGTAACCCCTCATAATTATCCATAAACCACAGCCGTAATCCTTTTCGCATTGATGTTGCCACCCTATTTTTGCCCGCAGCAGTGTTGTCGCTCTAGTTTGTTCTTAAAGT